CCCCAAAACCCCAAAACCCCAAAACCCCAAAACCCCAAAACCCCTTCATCTCCTCTAAAAATAAAATTAAACCAATCCTAAAATGTCTTCTAGGAACTACTCAGGCTTGCACAAAACCCAACCTACAATAAAGATGAAGTACAGAATAAAAAAGTCTTCTCAAAAGCTAATGGCACAAAATTCTGCCCAAAAATTAGCCTATAATCTTATTTCTCCTCAAAAAGTCTCTAAAACAGATCAAAACCTTCTAAATTCTCAAAACCTGAATATCCCGTACAAAACCTACCTGATCAGCAAACCGACTAAGGAGAATTCCAAAATCGCCAGCTTCCTTCTACGCAAAGGCCGCGAGAAATTCAAACTCGTTGAGAAATCTCTCAGTCAACCAAGTTCTAAATCTCTCAATGAGGCAGTACAAAGAGCCTTATGAGGCAACGTCCAGACTTATCTAGCGTATAAGTAACAAAGTTCAAGGACTACAGGCGATTAAGGGAATGGCTAGTGAATCTGCAGAGTATGGAGCCTCAACCAAGAAAACAGACCATTCAGATAGTAAAGCACTCTCCCCTACTAGGTCAAAACTTAGATTCAATTTATCACTCTCAAAAGGCAAAAAGAAAGCTAAAAATAATAACAAAACAGAAATTCCTATCACTGACCAAGAGGGACAGCTACTTGTTGATAAAATACAAAGGAGGCTTGAACGAAATAACAATAAAAACAACAGATTCTTGCAAGGAACCCGAGCAAATCAAGCTGCCAGAGTCATTGATGCCCATGAAAAGAACCTTAAACTTTGGAATAGAATTAATAAGTTCCTTTGTAATAAAAGGTCCAAAACTAACAAGAGAATCTCAGCCAAGCCAGAAAGATCTCTACTGATTGGAAATCCAAAATTTATAAAGAAACTGCAAAGAGATCATAACTATGAGTTGTCAAAGACATTCGCAGAGCGTAATGGCAGCTCTTCATGGGCATTTACCCTTCGTAATTCCCATAATCATCAAAACTGAAGTGCAAGTAGCCAAGAGTCAGTTTACAGAAAATGGTTTCCATCATCGTAATTTCTTAAGTAATCTGTAATGTAGCATGGCAGATCAATACTCTCAGATGTCCCAGACGAAATCTGTGCATAGCGACTTCAATATGACTTTGAAAGATAGATCAATTTTAACTAAGAATTTCAACCATCCGGATAAAAGAGAAGAACCCATGTCTCTATGATCAAAGCCAGAATACCACTTTGTTAAAGCCTCGAGTAATCTATTTGATAACTTTAGACGACTTGTGGGTGACTAAAAAGCCAATTGTGAATCAGGAATCATCAAAAATATTCAGTTTTAATTAACTCCACAACTATGCCATATATAAACACTTCTTCTGCCCCAGACATCAGCCACCCCCAATCTTCCACCAAACAAAGTCCTGAACCCCTCATCATAATCGGCTCTATCCCTAAAATCCCCTCTAGCAAGATAAACTCCTAAATCAGCACTCTCAAATCCCTAAAATCCAAACAATATTTCCCCAAAACCCACCAATATAGTAACATAGGTGAAGGAGAGCCAGAGGACTACGAACAAATTCTTATGCAAGATTATTACTAATTTCCAAATTTCTTAATATTTAGGGGTTTTGGGGTTTTGGGGTTTTGGGGTTTTGGGG